GCATGCTTTGAGGCCACTAATCAATTTTTTATTGCAAAATTTTTATTTCAGGACTTAGTATAGTCAAACTCAATTACCAAGTCGTTGAAGATATTTTATGACATTGCATTAGTTTTCTTTTCTAAGAATGACAACTACTATTGCATCTATATGCATTATGGTATAAAGTACTTGATGGTTAGAGAAGATGAGTCCAGAAACATCTAATGTCAATTAATTACATGAGTTCCACTGTATTGATTGTTGATCCATTCACTTAGGACTTACAGTCTAAAATATTTTGAAAGAACATGTTCTTATGATTGGGTTTGTGAGCAACCCATAAAGGATATGTTGATGCATGTTTGAGTGGATATTATAATTGACATTCTTATTTACGTACTTAAAGTTATTTGTTTCTGCTATCCTGTTCACAATTATGTATGTACATATTATGGTTGAATGTGATGATAGGATTGTCTTGACAAGACAAATTATAAGGGTCATTTGGACTGCATTAGGAAAGGCTAACAGTATTGTGGTACATAAAAGGAAGTGTAACACTGATGGCATACAACCGCTATGATTCATATTGTTAGTCAGACTTAATGTAGTATTATTATTAGTATTGGACTTATTGGCCTATTTTCTAAAATTCACGCGTGTGTATATAGTTTTTTTAAAAATTTCAGAATTCAATTGAGTCAAATTGTTTTTAAATAAATTTTGTTTATTTATTTTTTATTTTAAATATTTTTTGTATCTTATCAATTATTGGGCCAAGTGGGAGAATGTTAGGTTATGTGGTCCTATTTAATTAGGTAAAATATATTATAGATATTATTGGATTCTGATTATGGTCATTGGCCAATAAAAAAGAAATTCATATTAAAATAAGATTCTTTAGGAGATAACCTTGATGGGAGAACTCTCCTGCTCTCGCCTATAAATAGACATGATCTAAGGGGGCATTTGATAGACAGGGGTTAAGTGTGCATCCGAGTAGTGCATCAGAGTAGTAGTGCATCATTTGAGTGCGTCTGAGTGAATAATCCCCTAATCCTTGCAGATTGAGGTCGAAAGTTTTCTCTCAATCTCCCTCTCCCCTAATCCCCTAATCCTTGCAGATTGAGGTCGAAAGATCTAGTTCTCAGATCCTTGCAGATTGATATTTCAGATCCGAAGGTCGAAAGATCTAGTTCTCAGATCCTTGCAGATTGATATTTCATATCCGAAGATGGAGCGCTTGTAGATCAGATAAGGTTTATTCTTCTGAACAACAAGAAAGGTACACATTGTAATATTATTAAATCTAATTTATTTAATTTTAATTTTAGCATAAAAGTTTTTCCGCGTTACAGATAGCATGATTACAGATTTTATGCTAACACTCCCCACCTCTCAGCCACACTACCTGCATACCTGCAAACGGGAATGGGTCTCCTCGGTTGCAGCATCCTTGTGCTTCTCCTTCTGGCTTCCGTCGGCCCTGCAATTGCCTGTTCCGGTGGAGAATGCAAGGCACTGTTCTTGTTTTTGTTACCATCCCTTCTCATAGAGTTGACTGACCTCGAGATGAACACAACTCGCATGCGTGCAGCTTCTTGAAGAGTGTTCCACCGACAGCGATTGCCAGGCAGGGTTGTATTGCTTCTCCTGCCCCTCAGGGTTCTCGGGCTCCAGGTGTGTCCGGTCTACGGTGACGGACCAATTCAAGACTGTGGTATTGCTTTGTTTTCTTGTTGCCCTCTTACCTCGTTTGGTCACTGCTTTGCATTCTGCTTTTGGATTCTTGCTCAGTTTTGCTCTTGTAAAGGCACCCAATTAAAGTTTCAGATCCACGCATGCCATGGGTTTTCTTCACTCGATGAAAATAAGAAACACTTCAAATTATGATTGACCTCTTGTCTTCTTCCTTGTAGTTAGATCTGTATTAGATGAGTTACCAGTAATTGATGATTATGATTAAATAGATGTTGAATTAGTAATGATCCATTCCCCCCTACACATTGTTGTATTGAATTCAGCAAAAGGTTCTCATGAATCCCAACTCATCTTTGTCTGAATTTTCCCCTATAAATGGTTCATTGATTCTTTGAATTGTTCACACCAATCAATGCCACAGATTCTTATCTATATAATGCATTTATCTGACAAGTTTTTCTTCCTTTGTTGCACTGCACCATTGCCGCAGAATAACTCCCTGCCTTTCAACAAATATGCATATCTCACTACACACAACGCTTTTGCCATTGATGGGGAGCCATCTCACACTGGAGTCCCGAGGATTACCATCACAAATCAGGAGGACACTGTCACTCAGCAGTTGAACGTAATCCTCCTAATCTTCATATTTCATGAAGCTGTTGTTTGAACGCCAACACGAATGACGAAGTTATCTTCCAAAACAATGATCTGCAGAACGGCGTTCGAGCGTTGATGTTGGACACTTACGACTTTGAAGATGACATCTGGTTGTGCCATTCCACCGGTGGGAAATGCTACGATTTCACTGCATTTGTAAGTATGCTTTGCAAGCAGATAGGATGGTAATCCTTTCACTATTTGGGTTTGCATTAGCTAATTTCTCATTGAGACTGTTGATTCCAGGAACCAGCCATCGATACCATGAGGGAGATCGAAGCCTTCTTGTCTGCAAATCCATCAGAGATTGTCACGTTGATCTTAGAAGACTATGTTGAGACTCCAAATGGATTGCCAAAGCTTTTCAATGATTCAGGTCTGACGAAGTATTGGTTCCCAGTCTCGAGCATGCCCCAAAATGGTCAGGACTGGCCTCTAGTAAGCGACATGGTTGCCAGCAACCAGCGCCTAATCGTCTTCACGTCCATCAAATCCAAGCAAGACGCAGAAGGGATCGCCTATCAGTGGAACTACATGGTGGAAAACCAGTGTAAGCAAGATCTTCTTTCTCCTCATTTGAGGTTTTGCTCCTGAAAGCTTTATCATGCAATGCACCATACCGGTGTCTCATTTCTTGAGATGCTCGATGCTTTCGATGGGGCACGCAACGATCGACTACTGCAAACACCATACCGGGGCAAGGAAGGGATACAAGTCACAAGTTCTTAAAATGAAACGAAATCAATATATTTTCATCGTCTATTCTGTTCTTCAGAACTCAAAACATACTTTTCGGGTTCGACTCTGTAGATGGAGACGATGGCATGGAAGAAGGCAAATGCTTCAACCGTGCTGAATCTGCTTCTCTAAGTGACACGACCAAATCTCTTGTGCTGGTGAACTATTTCTCCTCGATACCAGTGAAGCAAACAACCTGCGAAGATAACTCCGGCCGACTCATCAACATGCTCAATACATGCTATGGCGCAGCAAACAACCGATGGGCCAATTTTGTGGCTGTCGATTTCTACAAGGTATTACTTATGTCACTCTGCTTTTGATACTGCCAATAGACTACCTGATGAGCACGAAAACCACAAGCACAACAACAAGTGCTGTTTCTCAAATCCTACTCGTTAGCAACGCTACTGGAAAATTATTAGTCTCCTGCACACCTTATCCAAAGATTTTTCTTGCCAGATGAAAATTTAAAAGTGTTGAATTTATTTCCAGAGAAGTGACGGCGGAGGGTCATTTCAAGCAACAGATATGCTTAATGGGAGATTGCTATGTGGCTGTGATGATGTACACGCATGTGTGGTAAGAACTTCACCTGTTTCTCTGCTATAATTTCATACAGGTTCAAATTTATAGATGATAATTGATAGAAACAGGAGCTTAGAAACATTGACAAACCGAACGAATACCACCTAATTCAGAAGAAAAGAGGAATATAATCTTCTTCCTACTGCCTGTGTCCTTGCAGGCTGGGTCTACTCCTGGTGCATGCAGCAGTCCTTAACAGCAATGGTGATACGAATTCATTGTGGCATTGGCCTCTTTGCACAGCAACCTACTGCAACATATAGTGGTATTCCATGGGATTCATGTTTTGTAGTTTTTGTTTATTGTTTCCATATTCTGATGAACAATTCTACTGAAAGAATAATGTTCCGACACAAGTTTTCTTGGATTGATTGGCGAATTTGACATCTGCAAACGGCTATGAATCTAAAGTCCCAGTCATTGATTTGATTTCCAGAAGAAGCTTCTCCTTAGAAGAACTGGATGTTGTGACATGCCATTACCTGGATAATAACCAGCAAAATGTTTGCTCTTCTTGGACACAACTTCCTCAACCCTATTCTCTTCATGCTGCATAACTGCAGTGGTTTCAATTGTTAGATTTAGTCCTCAAGATAATTTCAAATTTAGATTATGACAAGTAGAACATCAACCACTAATGGTGTTGTAGGTCCATGTCGAGGCCCTGTCTCTGTCTCGATATGTCTTCGGTCCAATGGAGGGAGACGATATTGCAGACATGCTGGGACATGCCGGACTTTGACACCTAAAGAAGCTTTCATTGACATACAGAATTGAGAAGGAAGTATGTGGATAGTAATGTTCATCTTTAACTCATATAATTATTGACTTGGGTCCCGAGAAATAGTACATATATATCCTAGCCTAGTCTTCTGATAGCTTGAGTGCTTGTCCTGTTTCAGCACATGAATTGTCAACACACCTAACTATTATGACCCATTTGCTGTTGTTGTTAGGTCAACTTCAGTAACAGTGCTGCCTAAAATCTCACGCATGATTCATCAATACCCAATATTAAAAGTAGGACTACACACTTCTTCTTAAGACTGCATCTACGATGCTTAAGGATTGCCTCTGGTAAGTGTAGTGTGCTTAAGGAGAGGATAAACAAAAAGTAGTGAATATTGAAAGGAACACCATTGCTTCACATCAAAAGCTCCAGCCACTCCATCATGTCTCACACCAAATCTACAGAGAAGAGGAGTTGGAGAGATGAGGGAGAGAGAAACAAGATGGCTAACTAAGATGCAGTACTTGCTCTGTTGATGACTTCGATGTCTGTAGTTGCGAAGACGGGCAAGCCGTCCGAGAGCACAGCATGATCACAGATCTTCAGCTCGAACAGATCGGAGCTGGAGTCAGACACCTCCTCCTCCTCTTCTTCTTCCCCTCTGATCGAGTTCTTTCTTACCCCTGGCAATGGAAGATCATAATCCCCGAACCAATCTCTTCCCGGATACTGATCGCCGGGGTCGTTCAGTACCCATTTTTTGTTCTCCCTGTCATGCGCATCTCTCTCCTCGGTTCTAATTCCGTGGAGTCCGTAATCCTTTTCCTTTTGTACTCCACTGTTGTGCAGCAGCTCGGTGATGCTTGTGCTTCTCCATGCCTCGATTCGTGGGCAGAAGGTGACAGATTTTTGGCCCCGGTTGCACTTGTAACTCATCGATGGAGTAGTACGGTAATTGTATGGATACAAGTCTGGATTCGTAAAGCTGCTGCTGCCACAGAACTTGCTGGATTTGGAACCAGTGCTGTTGGTGCTTTGGGAACGGCTGATGCTTCTTCTTCTCTCTCTCCCCACAAGGCTATTCTCCTCCTTCGCATCCCCCTCCTCCGGTGGCTCTCTGGTCGTCGAGGTGGGGTTCAAACACTTGAGCTTCCTCCCGGAAGCCGCTTGATGGAGGAAAGAGTTGAGTAGGCCGACTAACCTAGCACCGGGAGAGCTGGGCTGCTTGCACTTCTTGTCTTTCATCAGCGAGGAACTGCTGCTTATTTGTCTCTCATCTAAGTTTCCCTTCCGCGCGCTGCTTGGCACCCTATCTTCGACCGTCACAGCTCCATGGGAGCCAAATCCACCTACCTGCAGGCCCGTGCCATCGATTGCACCGGAGAAGTACCGCGTCGCCTCGAACACGTCGAGGTCGTCGGATTCATTCCAGCTGTCGAATGACTTCTCCTGGAGGTGATTCATGCTTGGGAAGGCATGCAGGTGTTGACTCCTGCATAGTAGATGCGAGTGATGGTTCTTAAAGAATACTGGAGGCCAAGTGAGGTTATTGGCATGGTGGTTTTTCAATGGCTGTGGGTCTTATGATCAACAGTATTGCACTGTTGAGGATTCTGGACGGAGAGAGACCCACAAAATAATGCTTAGATCCTCATGTTTGTTATCCAATGAGAACGGTGTGCTCAGCATAGGATCATGTGGAGAACGCTGCACACGCACTGTGCGGGAATCCCAAATATCAAGATCGCTATCTCTTCAACAGCAGGAAGGCGTTTAATTAGGTTCGGTCATCGTCACTTTGTCATCTCCGTAAGACCGACGAGGAAGACGACGATTTCATGATGAAAACATCAGCAACACAAGCCAGGCAATGACCTGCCGAACCTTCTTTGGTCCTGCTGCTGCCTGAAGAAGCGATGCACATTAATGGGCTGGTCTCAAGATATAAATGCAGTTGCTGTCGAACGTGAGCGTTCTTCTCTCAGCTCTCGACACGGAATGTGTCGGAGAAAAGCTGTCTTCGGTTGCCTCATCCTTCATGCCATCTATGTATTTGCCAATGAAAGAGGAGAACATGGACTGCAACTCCAAATCAAGTGGTAAATGCAATACATCTGAGGGTTAGCCAAGCCATTAACTAACTATGCATGGCCTTATCTCCATGGAGTTGTTTCCTTCAGCTACAGTCCATATGCACCATCTGCTCCAGTGATTGGACAGCATGTATGGTTGTCCCTACCGTACGAGCGCGGCCGTTGTCTGCCGCTCACCTCCACACATTCTAAAGCGAGAGCCGCAGAAACTGGAGCCCAGGGTATCCCTTTGGACATCACAGAGGGAACCGAAGCCGCAGTAGCTCTTGTTTGCCTTGTTGACCGGCCATGGAGGGGGGTCTCTGCTGTGCCGTGCGTCATGCTTCCAATTAAAGGAGAGATGGTGTCGGTATGAGCTCGACAAGCACATCCACGGCCATCGTCTCCTTCCTCACTCAGATACGTGCAGTGCTCATGGTATGACATCAAGACTCGTATTATCCCTGTTCTTTGTAATAATTTCTTTGTGTTCGCATCAATAAAAGAGAATTCGGAACTGTTCTGCTTCGGCTCTTAAAAATCGCGCAAGATGCAAAATCCATCTTATTCGGAAGCTTTGGTTAAGGAAGACAGACGCCACACTCTCAAAAGCAGAGGAGAGTCGGAGCAATATCGGGATCTTAATGTGCATGGTTATAAAAAGATGTTTGAGTCCTACAAAGATCGAATTATTTTTGTATTTTTATTCGAATGAGGATAGTTGAATATATAATTGAAGTGTAGCGTAAGTTTCTCGGTGTTCATTCATTGGTATGCAATATTTTTTATGTTCTATTAGTCTGTGTCTTCATTTGAAACCAAGAAACAGCGGCTTTGCCATTAACACAATCCACCCACTCTACTGCTTTGAATCAGACGAGATTTTTGCACCCCTCCGTCGTCCTCTCGAGGGCCGGGAGTGTAGCCTGGCCTTCTGCCTGTACAGGACCGCCGGCTTGACCGCCCATCCCACTGCCACCACTTGATAGTCTACTCTGTACCTGTGCCTCCTTGATCGGTCTAGATCCCCTCAGGATTTGGGAGGACTCTCAAAGTATGGATGCTACAACTACTCTCCTCCAATAGTGGCTTGATGGTTAAGATAATGACCGTGTAGCCCGTAGGTTTGTGAGGAATTATTTGTTTTGGACGATAGGTGTACCCGCACGGTTTTGTTCTATCGAAACATGTGAATTCTAAAAGACACCTCTGAGGGTAAGGGAGACTTGGCAGGCTTATGAGCTCTTGATTCTCATACTCCTCAACCAATGTGAGACTAAATGACCTTATCAGTGCTCCCTCCATAGGAGAGCCAAGAGCTCATAGCTAAGGTGCATGGCTTGGGAGCGAGTTTGCCCAACCGATGTATAGGCCTTGGGCCATCCTTCTAATGTCAAAATGTTGATGAACTGATGTGCCGTAGTCGATGAGTCAACACTGCTTGGTCTATGGGACGATGTTGAAAATTCACAATCGGTTGGAAGAAGTGTTGAAGCCGACTTGTATTGGAAAGGTTGGGATGTTGATGCCATCTGAGGAAACACATCTCTCAATCGGGACATTGACACCATCTTCCGGAAAGACATCTCTTGGTCTGGGCGAAGTCGCTCCTTCAGGGGTGGCCGAGCTCCTACACAGAAGACCCTCGACTGGGGGTTCTCGACTTTACCCCCTCGTAGATTAAGTCGGTAGTTACCTCTTTTCATTCTTTCTTTTCTTTTCTTGGCCAGATGCCAGTCATAGGCTTTTATACTATTGCGTGAGGATCGGTTGTACACCGATTTGACGTGACGATCGATCCTCAAGTGACGAGATGGTATCTTTGTACGGTCGTCGCCCGGAATGCACGGAATGGTGTCATGTGACGTCGTCCCGAGCTTTCTGGGACAGGACTTGTCGAGGTATAGATTTTGGCTCGGTATGGGGAAGTACCCCTTGTGCTGACTTGGCAGGAGTGTGATACGACATGAGTTGTGACATGGTTGGAGTCCAAAATATGTTTTATCACCTCCCATCAACTATCCTTGTACCAATAATCAAAGTCACTAGTATCAAATCGTTTATCCCAAAGCAGAGTTGTAATTCTACACTGAAACAGGATCTCGTTACAACTTTTTACACACAACACTACAAGATTTGGGACCGAATTATGCTGGCAATATAATCAGATGCGGGCAGTTGATTCCACGACAGCTTTCCAAGAGAGATCTTCGCCCAGGTTAGTGTTCAGTTAGAGGTTGGGACCTCCCTCTCAATAGGTGGTACACACTTTCTGAGGAGGTCAAATCATTTGGAGTTGAGGCCCAAACCAATTGATCATCATCGAGGGAAGGGACTTATACCTATGGATCCTACGAGCCAAACAAAGATGAAAACAATCAATTAACACCTCAATATTTGAACCATTTATATTAATCAAATCAGAAAGTATAATAGTTAGTGTTAACAAAAGTAAGCCAATAACTTATGAGGACCGTGCCTGATAAGATATATTTTGGGTCCAAATCATGTCGACTCATCAGACACCTCCACATTCAATTCTATCGACAGAAAACTCCTGATATTGACCCATGGATCAAGTCATGCCAACTCATCAGTCACAACACATTTATTCACCAACAATGTCAATCCAAGTCTCATTCCCAAAGCGACCCATGTATTTCTTAAACCCATCATAAGTATCCCCTCATCAGCTAACAAAGGTCTAACCAATTCCAGGAGCATGTAGAAGTTCTGGTGACATTTCAAGAAACAAAGTTGTCGTATTTGGCAATAAAAATCCTTAGATAATTTTCCTAGCCACCATAGAGTCTCTAATGCTGAGCCCACCCTCCCATTTAGGACTAGTCATCATACTCCATTCAATCAGGTTCATTTTATTCTTGTTGTCATCTTGATTAAAAAAAAATTCTCTTTAGATTTTTTTATTTTCTTGATAATCTTCTCAGAAATCTAAGTGTTCATTAGGATATGAGTAAGGATAACATTCAGGACATCATTAATGAGGATATTCTTGATGATCTAACATAATAGTCCTTTGAATCACCCTTGCACCCTATAAAATGCTTTATCCATCGATACAATTTGAAACTTCTCTTCCAACTAAAGTTTGTATATGAATCTAGATATAAGATAGGCCATTGCCCCCTCACTTACCCTAAGTGTGTTGTGTCTCTCAATCTTGTCACTTTTATTGTAAAAGATTTTTTTAAATTATTAATGGAGATGTCAGATGAAACTCATTCTTAAATAGGATGGCTTTAAGACTATTGTACATCTTACTGTTCCCTGAATACCACAAGAAGATCATCTACAAAAGATATCTTAATGCCATGGATGTTGAAAGGAGAAATTTTTTTTGCCTCTAGCTTCATTTTAAGTAGGTTACTCAAGTTTTGCTGTACTAGAATGAAAAGATAGAGAGAAATAGATCCCTTGGCGGATGCTACATTTGTTCCTAAATCACTTCGATTTTTTTCATTAATCAAGTAGGAAAATAGAAAGAACAGACATAAAAGACATTACCCAATCAAGAAAGGGTTTAGGAAAATACATTTTAGTCAAGGTGTTAGATATGACAGTCCAAGACACCATAACATAGGCATCGGAGATATCTAGCTTGAGAAGTGTCAAAGGTACTTTCATCAAAGGACTCTGATATATTGTGAGTTAACTCGTTAGATATAAGGATATTGTCATGCATGTTACTATTATGAATAAAAATATATTTTATGATAAGTAAGCTTTATTTCAACTCAATACCGATCCAAAATAATCTCGGTCAAGACCTTGACTCATCGACCACTCAACCAACACATCTTCGAAGCTTTCAGCATATTATCTCTTCTAGCATATCGTTAGATCTTTCGTCACATTGTTTGAACCTCCAACACATTGTTTGAATCTTCAATCTTCGACGTATCGACCAATTCTCCGGTTTGACGTTCAATTCTAACACAATAATCCACTTGCACAATTTTTGACTCTCTAGTTCGACATTTGACTATTCGATGTTTTGAGTTTATGATCGAAGTATTTCCTATATAACTTCTTAATAATATATTAGTTCATCAAACTCATCAATTGATTTCATCGTTAAAATCCAAGATTCAACACGCTCGAGGTATGAGAAGAATGAGAGATGAGGTGAAGGCGATAATGGACCGAGGCAAAAGATATAGGCAATTTTATATATTTAAAAAATAAATGATATTATGATAAAATAAATAGAAAACGAGCGTTAATAAAAAAATAAACTTTTTTTTTGGAATTCATGGACAAGTAAGTTGACTAAAATTTAATCCACCCGCATAAATTATAAATTTGGGTAGCTACATGATCATGCGTTCGGATGGCTTTTACATCCTGGGATAGTATAAGAAAAAGAAAGACAAAATCTGATATCCAAATTGCTTATCATGGATAGTGACATATTGCGTGTTCTTCCAAAATCAACATTTGGGACCCATCGACCAATGAGAGATCGACAGCGCAAGGCGTGTGCGTAAAGTAGTCCAAGAACACAAGGGTTCCGTACCGTGACAGAGAGGTGGCCCCCGCTCCAGCCACTATAACAGAACCCTGGGCCAATCACAACTCGACAACGTTGTGATCCCATTACCACTCCGGTTGTCATAAACCCGCATTTGGTTTCCTTCGTCGAGCGCTTCTCCTTATTCTTCTCTCTCTCTTACTTCTTCTATAGGTGGATCGGCGTTTAGCGACTGGGTTTCGAGATCGGAGGAGGGATCGATCGAGATGGGGCGGGGGAGAGTGCAGCTGAAGCGGATCGAGAACAAGATCAATCGCCAGGTTACCTTCTCCAAGCGCCGATCGGGGCTGCTCAAGAAGGCCCACGAGATCTCCGTCCTCTGCGACGCCGAGGTCGCCCTCATCATCTTCTCCGCCAAGGGCAAGCTGTATGAGTACGCAACCGATTCCTGGTGCGCCTCGCTCCTCTCCTCTCCTCTCCTCTCCCCCCTCTAGCTTGCGCTACCCGATCGCCCTTTCTATATGCTTTTAACGGACCCGCTTTTGGATTTTCTTGGTGTGATCCCCGATCGATCGGATTTTCTATGTCCGCTGCACCGGAAGACTGAAAATACTCTGTTTCCTCGTCCTTGCCCATGCTACAGTGTTCGAATATCCAACTATCTATTTTGGGTAGGATTTTGAGCAAAATTGGACGAGAACGCGTTAGAGTTCGATTTCTGATCTGCACGCTCTTGTTTCTTGATTTAGAACTGTGAACACGACGATATCTGGCCACTTTGCTGTTCTCCAAGCTTAAGACTGTGTGGTTGATGAGGAACATGGCATAAGTCGGCACTCCTTTTAGGGAGTAATTCGGGGCTATTCTTTCCTGCTTCGGGGAGGTGCCCATTAACTGCCAAATATGTTGCCGAACAGGTGCAGTTCCCATAGGTAGAGGTGACCTCGTACGTTGGCTTGAGACTAGGAAGGGAGGATTGAGACTAGGAAGGGATGGATTTTGACGCCACAGAAAACCGGAAAAGAACCTTTTCTTTTAAGTTACTTTTAGTTCGATTCATTGACCTCAGTAGCGAGATGGTAGTCTGCCGTATGCTGTCACAAAAGTTGCACGTAGATCTAGGGTTTCAATTCCTTCGTTGTCTACTTCCCTCATCTTTCGGTTAACTGTAGCAGAAACCAATGGCTCGTGACATGCAATGGTGT